ACATCAAATTTATTTAAAGCCCAGAGGTAACGCTACTTATTTGAATACCAAGAAACATTACACTGTCTGATATCAAAGAGGGTAAATTCTAACAGAAATGTGATATGTGGTGAATGTAAAAGCTCTGAATTAATTTACTGAACTAAATAATCGGGTGCAAACAAAGATGCATCAGAAGAAAGTTAAAGAATTTCCAGAAAACATGTAACTTATAAAAGGAGCTTGCTAGGGCTATGAGAGATCAGGATATGAAAAACATTGTACTGTAATTCCTTCAATTGAGCAGATTCTGACATGTTTATCATTTTCCATGGGAGGGATTGCAGTGGAAAATGTCTCAGCTTATGCCTGGAAGCTCTAACATCTTTCTCTCTCTAAGGGGATGGAGAGAGAGAGAGAGAGAGAGAGAGAGAGAGAGAGAGCGCTCTGGCAAGACCTTGGCGAGTCATTGCCAGCTTGAGTCGATGAGACTGCCTAGGATGGGCCAATAGCTTAAATTCTGTATAAGGCAGCTTCAGGTGGTTGTATGTCCATGCTGATTGGTGGATATTCTTTCATATTTTTGAACAGGCCAGCTTCCCCATTAGGCAGAGTGAGGCGGATAGTTATGTGTCTGGCTAACCTGGTATCTCCACATTCTTGCTACAAACCATATGCATGGCAAGAGCTTGCAGGAGTGAAAATAATACACATTGCCAGAATGAACTGGTATTTTGTAACAAGTGTGACTTCTTGTGTTGCACAGCATTTAATTTAAATGATTGCTGGCTCCTGTATGTTATCCTCCTGATGACAAAACGGATAGAATATAAATTCTCCACTAAGAAATGTTGCTAGGTGTGTGTGTAAATATTCCCCTCTAAAAAGCTGTAACATCAATCATACACTGTGGCAATAACCACCAAGCAGGTCAGGCTTCAAAATCTTGTAGCAAATGTGACTGGAAAACAAGAAGAAAAATGAAAAATTAGCCAGCCAAATCACACCCCTGTCCCATTATCCTACTCTCTTAATAGTTGGCTTGGGTAGCGACAGAAATGGCATCTACTGTAAATGGAACCCTGGAATTGGCAGAAACCTAAACGGAAAGAAAAACTTAGAATTTAAACATGGGGGGGGGGGAAATGAACCCCAATGAGATTGAGCACGCTCAGTTGCTACTAGGAACAGGGGAGAAATGTTTTAATGTTTTGACCACAAATTGTTCATTTGTAGGCTGTGCACTGCTTGTTATGGGCATCCGTCTATCTCGGGAGACAATGGAGGAGTGTACCTTTGTGGGTAAAGTTAAATTGTTGGAGAGTTACAGCTTCTGTTGTGGCCATAGAGACTGATACAGGAAGAGATATATTTTATTGCAGGTGGGGCAAATGAAGGCAACCAGTTTTGCTGCTACAGGTGCACCTGGACATTTCTTCTCTCTGCGCTCCTCCTCTGCTCACTGCTGTTGATACATGACCTGGCTAAGAGATCTTAGATCTAGTAACTGAATAAAATGACATGCTATCCCCAAACCCTGGACAATTTCCCACAGTGTATCTATTCAGAATGCCAACTTGCCAAGATGAAGCCACTTAAAGAACAATATTTCATGACACACGGTTTAATTACTTTACAGCAGAGTGCTGCAAGGAGCAGTAGAAATGCATATTAAATTCTTCAGCTGATCACTTGCAAACAGTGAGACATTTCTCTCTCTGCCAACTTTCAGGGACATAAATATATGATAGTCTCAGAGGTTCAACAATCACATCAGGCTAGATAAAATCAGGAGATTGACTTTGTTGTGGTATCTGTCTCCTGTGCTAACTCAATTTTGGTTTCTGTATTTCTAGCCAATAAAACAATAATGTTATCAAGCTTTCGACAGAATGTTGCTGATTGAAATATGGAGCTCATTCCAATGGCTTTTGCCCAGGTGTCATTGGCATGGACAGATAAATTCTACAGCTAGCTTAGAGATACTGAATAATTAACAGATATTGCTATCGTGGTGCAAAGATTCTAAACTTGGAGCACCTATGTCTCCACATAGTAAGAGTGCAAAATCCAGGCCTGCATTCGTAAGCGAGGTCTAAACAAGATAAACAAGTTTTGAGATGCTGTAGAAGGGACTGAAAGTGTGTGTGAGAGAGTCTGAAGCTTCCTAATATTACACCTTTCTCCAAAAGCAAAATAAAGTTTGTGATTAAAATGGAAGCCAACCATAAAGTTTTGTCCTTTGGTTCGCAATACTCTAAGCAAAAGAAAATTGTTTAGAAGCAAAGCCAGCACTTGAGAGCAAGGCCCCACACCAATAATAAGATCAATAAATATTAATGGATAAAGAATTAGATTTAGAATGTGAGCCCAGCAGTAGACATATGTTTCAAAAAGCCGCGTGTATGTGTTTATACTATATGAATGCATATATTTAAAGAGAGGGGTATGATGAGGGGAGTGAGACTGTAGTATGTGTTTACTGCTTACATTGTGCGGTGGTTAAGGTGGATGTCTTAACCTGCAATTTTGGGGCTTTTTGATGCAGTGAGTAAATTTATAAGCACTTTAATGCTTCTCTTAAACTGACCATGATTTTGGGTGCTGAATGCATTCATTGTTGTGTTCAATTATCTATAGGATAGTGTCAGAATAAATAATAGGTTTCCAAGGTTCTTAAATAATTGTTTCCATTTAGTTCCAGCCAGAATTTCCCTTTAAATATTTGAAGATCTTACTGATGCTATTGATTTTCCAGGAGCTCAGATTGTCAGTGCTTGTTATGAAGAGCTGAGTGGGATTGGGAAGGTGGAGTCACAGTGGCTGCTGGGTAAAGGTAAAGGACCCCTGACAGTTAAGTCCAGTCACGAACGAATCCGGGGTTGCGGTGCTCATCTCACTTTACTGGCCGAGGGAGCCGACATTTGTCCGCAGAGTTTTTCCAGGTCATGTGGCCAGCATGACTAAGCCGCTTCTGGAGAACCAGAGCAGTGCATGGAAACACCGATTACCTTCCCGCCGGAGCGGGACCTATTTATCTACTTGCACTTCGATGTGCTTTTGAACTGCTAGGTTGGGAGGAGCAGGGACCGAGCAAAGGGAGCTCACCCCGTTGCGGGGATTCGAAACGCCAACCTTCCAATTGGCAAGCTGTAGGCTCAGTGGTTTAGACCACAGCGCCACCCGTGTCCATGGCTGCTGGGTAGGAGCGTAAAAATAAAAAGAGTATTCAATTTTTTCCCCAATTGCCAGATAAATACTGTTGAGAATGGGGCACATCAAGGATAAACTCAGTAGAAAACTGATTGGCTGCCTGAATCATCTGTGTTTTCCAATAATTTACAGTACAAAATGAACACTTCTTGCCATCCTATACATGTCTATTTGGAGGGAACCCCCACTGAATTTGATAGGACTTATCTCAGGTAAGTGTGTAGAATACTTCAAACAACATTCACTGACGTACAGGGCTCTGTGAGATTTGTGGTATAAAATTTTTTTTGAAGCATTTCTGCCATTATTAGGGACATAAGGAGCTGCCTTATACTGAGTCAGACAACTGGCCAATCTAACCCAGTGTAGTCAACACTGAGTGGCAGTAGCTCCCCAGGATTTCTGGCAGGAGGAATTTCCATCCCTACCTGCAGATTCCTGTGGCTGACCTGGGCCCTTCTATTTGCAAAGCAGATGCTCTTCCACTGAGATACAGCGCTTCAGAGATGGATATTTGAGCATCTCATATAAGTGCAGAGAGCTTATGTAAGTGGTGATCTTAACTGCAGAATTAAGTGGCTATAAACTGAGACACAATACACATTTTGATACTCTTAAGTGGTTTGTGGAAGGAAATATGATATCTATTCAAAGCAGTGGATAATCTAGATATAGACGTGGATGTGTGCCTTGCATTGTTAAGCCAAGTGGGAATGGAAGAGCTGATTAGAGTTACTGTTTCAGAGGATAACTATATGAGGTTCTTTTCTGTGCCGAGGGGAAAAAAACCCTTCTTAATCAATGAACAATTCAAGTGGAGGTGCCTGTCAGAATGGAACTATAAATGGTAGATTTATATTCAGGGCATGATGAGCCGTTCAGCAGGTAGCTCTTTGTTTAGAAACGGGGAAGATCCCATAGAAAACAACATAATGTGTTTTGTAAAATATTGATTGACATTGTGAACTAAATTAGAGACTGGCAGAACCAGTTCAGAAATCAGAAGAGGAGCGATATATGATACACACATAACAACAGCAGCTCCCTGATGTTGCCGCTTTGTCAGGTGATTTTGTAAGCCTGATGCCGATAAAAAGAGAATGTCTGCAGACTAAGACAGTCAAAGAATGAGAGAGAAGCTGGGTGTTCTGCTTAAACTCCAGAGAAGCGGACACGGAGCAATGGATCCAAACTACAAGAAAGAAGATTCCACCTAAACATTAGGAAGAACTTCCTGACAGTAAGAGCTGTTCGACAGTGGAATTTGCTGCCAAGGAGTGTGGTGGAGTCTCCTTCTTTGGAGGTCTTTAAGCAGAGGCTTGACAACCATATGTCAGGAGTGCTCTGATGGTGTTTCCTGCTTGGCAGGGGGTTGGACTCGATGGCCCTTGTGGTCTATTCCAACTCTATGATTCTATGATTCTATGAACTCAAGCTGGGTCGCACAAACCTTGCGATCCATAAATGTAGGAACGGAGACTTATCCTGAGCCAAACTATTGTCAGTATATTGTTGACATTGACTGGCTTTGGCTTTCCAGAGTTTCAGATAGTGAGTCTTTTCTTTTTAAAAGTAATTTTTATTTGCATTTTTACATACAGTTCAAAAAATAATAAGTAAAGAATAAAAGGGGGAAATAAAAGCAAAACTATGACAAACCAAAGACACAACACAAAACACCTAAGAGCTTCCCTTCCCTTCCCTTCGTCTCCTTCTCTGGTATCTTTTCTTTTCCCTCTGTTCCACATATTCTAAGTTACCAAGTTCTGCTCTTCTTACTAATTATCTCCGTCTTTTCCAGCCCTACCTGCAAATGGCAGGGATTGATCCTGGGTTCCTCTGCATTCAAGGAAGTGCTCTACCACTGAGCCACAGTGTTTTCCGAGACCAGATGCAGCTCACTGGCCATGACTTGTGTCCTGCACATGCATGACAATCCCCTTTCCTTCTATACAAACAGCAAAAACCCCCAAGAGTTTTAGGGTTGCCATACATGGCACAAGATGTGTTTTGTTTACCCATTAAGCTATTCCTTTCCCTGCCGTCACCACCACTCCACTTCCCAATATTCCAAAGGATACTTGAGCTCTGAAATGGTGATGCGTTGGTGGATCAGGCAATGATCATTCACTGTTTGGAATGGAACCATTCAGAATGCACATGAAGCTGCCTTAGCCTGAATCTATCCCACACTCACCTGTTTTGATTAACAGAGATTGCTGGAGGTCTCAGACACAGGTTTTCCCTAGCTCTGCTACATGAGTTTGGACCAGAAAATTCTCCAGTGCATGTGCTTTACCACTGATCCTGGCCTCCATTGCATTTCTAACTACAGTACTATGTTCTACCTATAATTCCTTCCACCTTGGCTGTCTTTCACATGGATGGGAACTATAATATCCTTAACCACACGTTGTCAGAGGTTCACATGCAGAGACCATTTTGTTTCCAAGCTTTCACCCTTTGCGAGCCAGTGTGGTGTAGTGGTTAAGAGCGGTAGACTCGTAATCTGGGGAACCGGGTTCGTGTCTCCGCTCCTCCACATGCAGCTGCTGGGTGACCTTGGGCTAGTCACACTTCTCTGAAGTCTCTCAGCCCCACTCACCTCACAGAGTGTTTGTTGTGGGGGAGGAAGGGAAAGGAAAATGTTAGCCGCTTTGAGACTCCTTTGGGTAGTGATAAAGCGGGATATCAAATCCAGACTCTTCTTCTTCTTTCTGTTTGTTTAATGCACAGAACTGGGAGGTCCCACCAAAGTGTTATGTTGTGGGAGAACATATCAGACGACACAGCGATTCTTCAAACAGCTCTTCTTTATTCAGATGCCAGAACAGAACTGAACTGAAGGGCTCAGTCAGGCTGCTTATCTAGAGCTCCAGTACAACAGTTACCGTAGCAACTTTCTAAAACTATCCAATCACTGAACGTCACTTTCGATCCTTCATTTGCATACAAACTATCCAATCACTGAACGTCACTTTCGATCCTTCATTTGCATAACTATCTACAGTATCCCCCTGCTGGCCCAGGGTGAGAACTTCAATACATAACACAAAGGGTAGTCAACATCTCCTCCAAAACAATAATGCAAAGGCAACAGTCCAGGCTTTGGGATGAGATGAGCTGGGCGCAGATCTCATCCACACCTATCTGAGTGTCTATGCCAAACCCTTAATTCTTTAGGGCTGAATCTGGTAAGATGTGCAGGGGTTATCAGCTCAGTATTAGGGCTCCTGTGAATTTCAGAGTCAAGTAGATAAGGCCTTACAATTCGGTCTTGTATTGTTGTGGATAGCACCTGTATTTATTCATAAGATTTCTCTTACCTGCCCTTCACCATTAGGTTCTCAGGGCAAGGAACAAATATAATCATATTATTAAAACAGTTTATGCAATTGTAAAAACAATAAAAATCAATTATATACAAAAAGCAGCACAGTATAGGTTTTTAAAAAAAACAAAACCCCCAAAGGGGTGAGCCCCAGAAAAACACATTAACTTCGGAGACCAGGGTAAAAAAGTGTGTCTTCAGCATATGGCAGAAGCTGAATAATGATAATGCCACACACACCTTTAATGACAGGGGCAATATGTCCTGTTTCACTGCTTGAGGCAAAATGGGAAGTGCCGCCTTGCCCTGCCACTGCCCCTAAAGCATCCCTACCAAGTTGTGCAGCAGCGGCGGGTTCCAGCAAGATATCACAAGATCTCACTGAAATCTCGTGAGATCTTGTGCACTCTGTGAGATCTTGCAATATTTTAGCGTGCTATTCTCTGCTGCTTCTCTGCAGGAAGTGTCAGCAGAGGGGCAGGTGGGGTGCCAGCTTCACCCCATCTCATGGACCACTAGGTGATGCTGTTTACAAGCTTGTGCACAGGATGTGTGTGTCCCTAATCCTTTATCTACCTGTCTCTCTGTTCTTGCTATGCTTAATGGTGAATATATCGGCACTGACTAGAATATCAATTTCAAATTATTAAAATGATTGCATTCCTAAACAACCAAGCAAGTGCAAAGTGCAATCAAATATATCACAAAAAGACACTTTCACTTAATTGACACAAGCAGCATAGCTTAAATTATTTATGATGCTCCACAATGTACTAATTCATGTCCTGTAACATATCTTAAATAATAATGAAGTCTTCAGCTTGATTATAGCTTCTTGCTGTTGAATTTCTGCTATGAAGTGAAAAGATCATTGCATTATAATTAACCTTTTTCTTTTTGATCATAAACTCCAGCAGGTCTCTGTTCTTTTTGGTGTGTTCTTTCATTTCATTCCTACCTTTCTTATGTACACCAGTCTACTGAAGCACATTTCCCCCCGATGGAGATTATTTCCACACCCCACTTGCACAATCACCCTCTCCTTTGTTCTTCTCCTTCCAGCACAGCTCCTTATTTCTTAAATTGAACTACAAATTTACTATAGACTTGGAAATTCCTTCCAGTTTGGTTATTATATTTTCAACAACTAAACTGGTTCCCCCTGCATTTGTTAATTTATTTTTGGTGTGCTTCTGTAACCTCTGAGCAAATTGGTTCTGTTTGTAACATCTGCTCCTTCTTACTCCTTTGTCCTAACTTGACTGTGGACAAAAACAACATTGGCATGTAACAGCTTTCTATGTGTTTTAAGCTTTGTTCTCATCTCCTGGTTGCCAACAAGATCTATTTTTGATCACTTCTGTTAGGATGTTGATGATGATTAATTCATTTTCCTCATAAAAGTGAGACAAAGCAACTTAAAAATACTATATATACACTAAAACCAACTACAACAAACAGAACTGATAAAAATCTAAAGAACAGGTCTTATAAATCCTGCCCCACTAAAAGAGGCCATGAATATTTGAAACCCTCCAAATTAAGTGTCGATAGCCTGGCTGAAAAGGACAAACTTTGCCTGGCACCTAAAACTAAAGATGGTGCCAAGTAAACCTCACTGCGGACAGTATTCCACAAGATGGGTGCCACCACTGAAAAGGCCCATTCATGTTTTGCCATCCTCTGGACCTCCCATGGAGGGGACACATGGAGAAGGGCCTGAGATTACAGTCACAAGGTCTGGCTCAGTTCAAGCAGGAAGAGGCGGTACTTGAGACACTGGGAGTGGTTTTAAGGGGTGATTGGTTCTGCTGAAGTCATTGCTATATGTAATCCCAGTATGAGTGGTGAAAGACTCCAGGATTCCTGTGCTTTACTATAGGTTTGGTTTCTTTGGAATGAAGGCCAGCAGAGATTGTGGTTTCTTTAAGATATATTGTTTTATGCACATATGTACCTGAGCATAGGAGGAAGGTGCTCACAGCTCACACCCATAAATCTTGCTTCCCCATTAGGCTTCTAGAGTTCGGCTTGGGTTCAGTACACAGCAAGATATGCCTCTGTGTCTCCAGCTTCCAGCTCCAACCAGAACTCACGAATAGGTATGACTGCAGTTGTCATCTTTGTATAGATGTATCATTGGGACAGGAGCAATGAGTGTCCTGGGCTCTCCTGTGACACATTGAGAGCAGTTTTATTTTTCCATGCTATGGGCTGAGCAAAGGCATAGGTGTAGGTACAACCCATGAACACATCAGAGCTGAATAAGCTACAGCAAGAGCATGAAAACTTGGTCTGATGGAGCTATTCCTTTTTATGCATATGATTCTTTCCTGTCTACCCACAAACTACACATCATCTCTCTCTCTTCTCAATATCAGGCATTTTCTATTAGAAAATGGGTCATGGAATATATGCATATTTTCATATAGATACATGATGTTAGGAAAGTTGTTTTCAATCATATATGGAATGTTTTGGTGAGGGAGAAGGGGGGGGAAAGAAACCAATTAATGCAAAGCAGTATTCCATAAACAGTGGGAATTTTTGGGCAAATAGTACAAAAATATTAAGGTTACTATAGATTGTGCTCTTCAAAGTAATGTGTAATCCGTCGATACCATAATCCTAAATTATTTAGTAAATACACAAAGATAGATCAAAACATTTGATAATACCAGAAGCTCAGCAGTGGGTAAAATTGATTGCATGCACTTTGAGCATGAATAAAAGACTTTATGATTTATTGACACTCTGTAGATTAATCTGAGGCCACACAGAGCAGTAAAGCAGAGTAGTAAGTTTGATTTGTAGGAATTTTAAGAACAATCTGACAGCGAGGAAAAAGAAAAATTTGATAGTGCATCATGACACAACAGTTTTCCTTCTCAACTCAGAGATTTTACAAAAAGGCAACACAGAAATAATGGGAGTTGTTTTGTGATTAATCCTTTAATGCTATTCCATTGTAGTTGTACTATTGAGTTTAATTAGTAGAATGGAACATTAACACCTAATGTATACGACTGAAAAATCAATAGCCTACATATGCTATGTTTTACTGTTAAACTAATAATCATGAGATGGTAATTAATGTATGCAGCTACAAATTGGTCATTCATCACTGATTTCTTTCAATTCAAAATCCCAGATGTTTCTCCTGCTCCTCCTAATTTTATAAACTCTAAAGTTATTTTTTCTTAATATGCATGATCTAAATAAATGGAAACAATGAATACATCATAAACTAAATTTAATTCTGGAAAATCCTCTTTTTTTGGTTTTTGTTGTTGTTGAACGTTTCCCATCTGCTCTGCATCACCTTAAATACCTACCAAACATATATACTGACGCACAATGACCTTTAATTTCAATTTTTGATGTGAGAATTGAATTTTGATAGTGGGCATGCAATTGTAGTTAGCAAAATTAATGGAGAACAGGTCTCAACCATGATGACCAAGTGGACTCCCATGATTCAGAAGTAATATACAATTGAATATCAGTTGCTTTTTCACCAGATGTTTTGGACTAGGAATCTCATCAGCCCCA